AGAGGGCCATCAAGCTCGTCAACGACACTAAGAAGTGGGGGGCACGCGTAGTGTACGGAGATACCGACAGGTGGGTCAGAGGTCGGCCCGGCCAAGCACCCAGCCGGTCCGGTCCGGTTCGGCCTGGTCCGGTCTGGCTCGGCTCGCACACCCTCTCCACTTGACGTTTCTGTCCCTCAGCATGTTCGTGCTGCTGAAAGGAGCCACCAAGGAGCAGGCCTTCAAGATCGGGAACGAGATCGCCGAAGCCGTCACCGCCACCAACCCTAAACCTGTCAAGCTGAAGTTCGAGAAGGTGGGGAGGGGATCAGTGATTAGTTCAGCCTTAAATTCGACCAGTGTATGGTTCTATAATTAAGCCTGAACCGTGAAATGAATTTTATTCACCGGCCCATTGCTGTGCGTGTCTCTCCCTCTGTGCTCGTCTCTCCCTCTGTGCGTGTCTCTCCCTCTGCGCGTGTCTCTCCCTCTGCGCGTCTCTCCCTCTGTGCTCGTCTCTCCCTCTGTGCGTGTCTCTCCCTCTGTGCTCGTCTCTCCCCCTGTGCGCGTCTCTGTCCCCAGGTTTACCTTCCCTGCGTGCTCCAGACGAAGAAGCGCTACGTGGGCTACATGTACGAGACCCTGGACCAGAAGGATCCCGTCTTCGACGCCAAGGGGATCGAGACGGTGCGCCGAGACGGCTGCCCTGCTGTTTCCAAGGTAACCGGGGGAATTTCTGGCGCCTCTTTCACCTCGCGGCCGTGGCGATTTGCCCATACGTGCTCTCCTCTCCCGGCCATCGTTTGGGGAGCAGGGGTGGGGGAGGGGGTGTCGAGTGCGAGAGGAAAAGCATGGAAATGAAACGGGTAAATGGAGCATGTGGGCTGCCGGTCCTGAGCCGACGCGATGCCGCTCACCGCGTTTACTGCTTTGCTCTCGTCTCTCTCTGTGTCCCCCCCCCCCCCCCCCCCCCTTCCCACCCTCCCCCAGATCCTGGAGCGATCCATCAAGCTACTGTTCGAGACGCGAGACATCAGCCAGGTCAAGCAGTACGTCCAGCGGCAGTGCATGAAGGTCCTGGAGGGCAGAGCCAGTATGCAGGACCTCACCTTTGCCAAGGAGTATCGGGGCAGCGCCTCCTACAGGCCAGGAGCCTGCGTCCCTGCTTTGGAGCTCACCAGGTAACCTCCTGATACCCAGCCTGAAACAGTGCTGTTCCCCGGCCCCCAGCTTATCCCTGGACAGCTGCTCTCTGACTGTCTGCCTGTCTACACGCATGCTTTTCGGCTGTATGTAAATCCGCTCAGCGTCACCCCCCAGTAGCCATTGTCTGCACAAGGCTGTTCGTTTCGCTGTACCTGAGACTGTTGCCTAGCAACACTGTCATTAATATGGAGAAAGAAAAAAAAATATATCTGACTTTCGAGTTATTGTTAAAGGGAAAATATTCTGTTGCTATGTACAGACCGTTCCTGTGTAGTTTTGCGATGCATTGCTGTATATGAACCGTGGGATTTGCTTTTCTTGAAATGTCGTGTATTTTGAGATCTGCAAAAGAAAATGTGACACGCGGTAATACTGCTGTCGTGGACTTTGTTTTCAGAGCAGCTAATATATAGCAGTTCATATTCTTGTCATTATTTCATAATTATGACGTAATTAAATGTCGTATTAATAGCATGTAGTCATAGGCACTCTGCCCACCGTGACCTTTTGACCTTGCCAGGCGCATGCTGGCCTACGACCGGCGCTTGGAGCCGCGCGTCGGCGAGAGGGTGCCCTACGTCATCGTGTACGGCATGCCGGGCGTGCCACTCATCCAGCTGGTACGGCGCCCCCTGGAGGTGCTGCAAGATGCGGGGCTGCGGATCAACAGCGGCTACTACATCTCCAAGCAGATCCTGCCTCCCCTGGACCGCGTCTTCGCCCTCATCGGTGTGGACGTGTTTGACTGGTACCGCGAGCTGCCCCGGGTGAGCAGCCCTAGGGCATCTAGAGCAGGCGTTGGGACCCTGAAGGGCAAATGGCACTGGCAGTTTATCTTATTGCATTATGGATGGTCATTCTGTAATGGTTTTTTTTTTTCTTCTGTTGGTTGCAATAGGTTTGCGTCTTTTTTATTAACACAAACCTTGGTAATTTCTAACACACCTCCAGTTAATGCATTGAAAATATTATAATTTAAAGAGCCACATGGACATGACTCGTGCTTTTCTTAAGAGCAGCCACAACTACTCCATTTAGCTCAAGTTGTCAACATCAATGAAGGATTCTGTATAATTTTTAAATGTGGGCCGTTACTGCCATCTAGTGGCCGCCCATGAGAAATGGCGTCCTAGGCCGTACCTTGTGTTGCTCCTTCGGGCGTGCTGCCTACTCATGATTTGTTAACATGGGCAGAATTCCCAGGACGAGAAGCTGCCCTCCGACAGCGGAGCGAGGCCTGCCAGGACTGCAGCAAACGGGAAGATCTGTCTTTGAGAACTGCTGTGCAGTCTTTGGTCTGTTACGGATATGCTGAGAGTGTCGGGGGAACTTTTCGAGAACGTTTAAGAGACTTCAGATGATGCCAAATTATCATTGGCCTGAATCTGTCACACGTTACGTAGCTTAGATGGAAGCCGTGCATTTCTGAGCTAACGCTGAGTCCTGTGTCATTTCCCTCTGACTTGTGACCCTCAGGTCCAGAAAGCCTCCTCCACAGCCGGCGCTGGCGACGAGGAAGTCTGCCGGAAGGGCACCATCTCGCAGTACTTCACCACCCTGCACTGCCCCGTGTGTGACGAGCTGACCCAGCTGGGCGTCTGCGCCCGCTGCCGCGCCGAACCCCAGCGCGTCGTCGTCACGCTGCAGCAGGAACTGCGTCAGTGGGAGGCGCAGCAAGAGCATCTGCTGAAGGTGAGGGGTGGAAGGGACCCGTACTCAGAATGCATGGGGGCACAACGAGGCCTGTTGGCATGGTAACGGCCTTTGCGCGCCTTTCCACAGCTGTCAGGAGTTACGTAAGAGTTCCCATTTGTTGCTGTTTGCATTACAAAAAATGACTCTCGCTTCGGATATGTCTCCTCCTGGCTGCTGATTACGCATCAGTTAAATGCTACAGGCCAGGCGTAATTCTTGCGATGCTTACCTTAATCCATTTGGTCAAAATCACACCAGCCCTGACTGCCGTTGCATTCTGCGGCGTTAACAGCACTGCGATGCCTGTTCGCTACACTGTAACGCATTCCCTGCACCGCCAGCTGTCCTGTCTTTGCATGGGTGTCATCGTCCCCACGGCCCTGTATGCACTCTCCTGACACATAGCCGATATCGCCCCCCCCCCCCACCATACGACAGAGCTTGACGCCCTCGAACTTCCATCCCCACAGGTGTGCCGGAACTGCAGCAGCGCTGCGGAACGCCAGGTCCCGTGCGTCTCGTTGGACTGCCCGGTTCTGTACAAGCTGTCTCGGGTCACGCGGCAGCTGTCCAAGGGCCCCTACCTCCGGCAGCTTCTGGAGCAGTTCTGAGCTTCCGGATCCCCGTCATTCACACTCGGCGACGTGGTGCTAAATGCCCAGTCTCCGTTTTGATTTTGATTTTCTTTTTTTTTTAATGGTGCTTTGATCTAACATGGTTAGGTTTCAATTTTTGCCTAGTCGCTATTTGTTATACAAGTATTTCTGCTAGCTTGCTGGCGCGGGTGGTGGCTGGCCAGTCAGCTTGTGGCGTCCTCTGCGTTCCCAGCTGCTATTGGTTGTACATAAAGCAGTGTTTTTTTGGCTGGTATATTTCAGAGTCGGACGGAATTATGGGAAATCGGACCTAAGAGGACTATTCTGCGTTATGGGTTTGTACGCGCTGTAACTCTTTGTAAAAACTTTGAAGTCTAAATGTTTTTTATGGGGCTCCTTCTGACTCCAAGGTAGCAGAAAAAAAACCACTGATTAAAAGATTGTTTTTATATATGTATAAATATATAAAAACCTTTTTATGTAGAAATTCTCTCATTGTAAATCTAAAATCTGTGTGCACCTGCATTAAAAACACGGGGGGATTATAGTGGGGGTGGCAGTGCTAAATAATATATTATTTTCTCCTTTGGGGGGGGGGGGGGGGGGGGGGGTACCATGTTGTTTTTCTGTCTCGCCACGTCTTTTGCCTTGAGAAAGATGGTTTTATTTATGTACGTTTTTCTGCACGGAATAGTCCTTAAAACTCTGAGCCTCTTTGGGTCGTGGGTGGTGAAGAATGGAGCAGAGAACGTTCACGTTCGAGTTTTCACCAACTCCTGGGACTTGCTGCAATAGTGTATTTTGATAATTTATGGCAAAGTATACATTATTTTCTTTGTGCATATTTATTTTGTACACATTTCTAATGCTTTCTCTATGCTATATGTATGTTCCCTACCTATGTAAAGACTGATTCTATATCTCAATTGTACACAAGATCTGTGTATTTGTATAATTGTAAAAAAAAAATGGACGGTGTTTGTTTTTAATAGATATTTCTGTGGATGGAGGTTAACAGTTGATATAATAAAATTAAATGTACGAACATAAGCCTGTTAACTGTTAAGTGAAAATGCTGCCTCTGAGTGCTACTTTAAATTTCATGTGTTGTGGTTGGGTCACTGACCTTTAGACCTGCAGTGCGCAGGCAGATGTAACCAGTATTCAGGCCGCATATCCTGCTATAGACTAACCTTTTCCATTGACTGGGCTCGAGTCTATTAAAAAGGAAAACACTACACACATTCAGAATCATTATGCAAATTATTCTGAGCAGGAAAGTCTAAAAGTGGATACTTTTCTGAGGATTTTTTTCCCCTTCCAAAACTGCACTATGAATATGTCGCTTCTTGCCGGGAAAGGTCAGGCTCTCGTTTTTCCGTTCAGCATTCCAGATGGCACACAAATGGAAACCCGTCCTTGTAGTTGCACTTCCCCTGGCTTGTGAGTTTGGGTTTTAAAAAAAGTCCAGCTTATTTTTGAAGAAGTCCGCAATGACACTGAATCATGACAATCCCACAACCATCCTTCATAATTTATACTTTATTAATGACAACACACATTGGAATACATTGTACACTTAAATATCAATCTATACAAAATAAAAGTGTACATTTATAAAAATTTGACAGTTGAGATGTCTTGCACAATTTGCTCACAGATAACCCAGAATATTAAATGAAGACACCACATTTTTGCTCACAGAGGAATCATACTTTTCTCTGACGATTTTAAAAAGGCAAATTTACGCTCCAGGGACGGTTCTGTAACAGGAGTTGAAGGTGCCGGAGACACTGACTGCGGGTCCAATTCCTTTATTTGTGGTGTTCTTCACTTGAATTCATGTCAGCTTTCTAAAGAGAGGATTCAAACCCAGCATGATGTGGTGGCAGTGTGGTGTAGTGGTTAACACAGTCGCCTTGTACTTCTGGGACTTGGGTTCGAATCTCCGCCAGGGTTCCATGTGCTCTGGACCTGTTCCTCCAGTGCTGTCCCAACCCCCACCCCCAACGGTCCAAAAAGTGTCACCAAAGTGCAGGTGTACAATCCAATCTCCCCCCCCTCCACAGCCCAAATTGCCCCTAGGTGTGCGAATGCCCAGTACTTCCATAGGCTTCAACCCCCCCTCCCCAAAAGCCTGAATAGGACAAGTGGTGACAGAAAATGGATGGAACAGTGTGACACTGTAAATATCGGCACACAGTAAATCATTCTTAATTTAGCATATCTTCTGATTCAGCACAATCTGATTCTATGGTCCACTTCAGTGTTCCCCAACCCAGTCCACAGGGAACCCAGGCAAGTCCACGTTTTTGCTCCCTCCAAGCTCCCAGCCAATCAGGAACACCGAATACCTGGTAGAGGTGTGCTGGGAGCTGGGAGGGAGCAAAAACACAGACTGGGTTGGGAAACACTGGTCTACTTTAAAAAAATATACCAAAATATATATTAAAAGATTACACTTAGTATAATGGCTTCACCATTTAATTGCACTACTGCTATACCCTACATTTAAGTCCAAAATTCCTTTGCTATGAATGCTGGGTGATTTTTTTGCTAATGTACAGCACTGTCCCTAAAACACAGACTGTACCTTGAATGCTGTGTATCATACTTGCCCATTAAGTAGGGCCTACCCCATGAAATATATATAATTTCATAACAAACACAATAAGTCTGTAAAAGTAAAAGTCACGATACATAAATTCAGGACAATGTAGGTAATCAGCCACTGGAAGGGGGGGGGGCAGTATTTTGAGAATTGTGCATCTACAGTCAATGACCTAGACTGCTCTGAGAGAACAAGTGGTAAAGCAACTGTGGTCTGTAGTCTAAGCATAACCCAGACACGTAACAGAATGTACTCAAGAAATACGGGGGCATATTCAACACAGCTTCCTCAACGCTGCAATTAAGTTTTCCCCCAAACTGAACAGCTGCCGCTATCTGTGAGCTCAAGCTCGTTTCAGGGGGCAGGAAAAGTGCCTGACATTTGGACATTTGGACAGACTGGACATGCGTAATGGGTGACGCGCAGCAGAATTTCTCTCTCATGCACTCATCAACCACCCAGCATCAGCGTCTTTAGTCTCTCTTTTCTCTGTCCAGGGTAATGAGTGGCTTCACACTGGGAGAGTCTCCAAGGAGAGTGACTGGGGAGTTGGTGAGCTCCAGGGGATTGGCTGGCTCGGCCGTAAGGTCGTGTGTCATCGGGGTCACCAGGGAACCCTCAGGGGCTTCTGCGGCATCCACAGCGGCCACCGGAGACGCCGTTTTGTCCGGCGAGCTGAGACTGGCGTCGTCCATCTCGATGACTTCAAAGTCAGCGTCGTTCCACTGGTCGGCCTCATCTTCTTCCTCCTCCTCTTCCTCATTGGCGCCGGTGTCCAGAAGGGCTTGGTAGTGCTCGCTGTCGTCGGCCCCAGGCTTGTCCCGTGGCCTCCAGCTCGTCCCACCAGGCGAGGTGGCCAGCTTATACATGACGGGGAAGAGGATGGAGGTGATGGTGGCCGTGCCCAGGGACAGATACATCAGCACCGGGAGCTCCGGCACCATTCCCAGAAGTAATCCCACGACACCAGGCAGCACCATCTCTCCCAGTGCCGCGCCCACCACGAACACTGCCGCCGAGCGGCCCGTCACCGTGCTGTACTGCTCCAACCAGGAGATGCCGCTAGGGAAAGTGGTGGCCATGGAGGCGCCGTAGAGGGCGGTGCAGGACCAGAGTACCGTCCTGTTGTGGCTGAAGATCACCATCAGCAGAGAGGACAGCGTGCAGCCCACCAGGCTCAGCAGGATCATGGTGCCCGGCTTCACGCAGGCTACTGCGAAGATAGCCAGGCCCCGGGTGGCAGCAAAGGTGCCCCAGAAGAGGGAGTTAAGTCCAGCTGCCTGAGACCGAGTCATACAAGTCACATCCTTGGCATAGGTGTAGATGAAGGAGCCGTAGGCCACCTCTGCTCCCACGTACCAAAAGAAGAAGAAGAAGAGCAGAAGAATGAGGGCATTGTGGTACTTGGCCATCCGCGGTTTCCCCGGGGAGATCTTGGCCATGTCCTGAGCAGAGCTGCTCCGGGAACAGAGGACAAAGAAGAGAAGAGAGACCAGCAGCAAAAAGACCCCAATCACAATGTAGGCCCACATGGACTTGGAGATAGGTGCATGGGCAAGATGATGGGTGGATCTGATTAGTTTGATTAGTGGGTGGTCTTTCAGAGGGGGCACAGGTCCTTCCGTAGTGGTTGGAGAAGAGCAAGTAGTGTACGAGGCAGTCGTCGAGTGGGTGCCCCTCGAGCCGAAGACCTTGCTGTCCTCCAAGTGATCGTCCGTCCCGAGCAGCAGCTTGGCGATGATGGGCGAAAAGAAGGCCCCGAGGGCGAAGCTGAAGTGCAGGGCCTGCATGTGCGGTCCGGCGCGGTCCCCCCACGTCTTCAGGATGAGGACATTGCCACCTAAGCATGAGGTGGGAAGCAGGGTTGGGAATACAAGTATGACTCAGTGCTCGACAGAATTGTAAAAATGCCGTAAAGCTATTGAGAAGCAAGACTCCTCACAGCCACAAAAACAAAATCAGTCAGAGGCAAGTCAGCATGCTGGCAGATAGAAACACTGAACTACTAAAGTAACATGCAAATTCTCTTAAACAGCGGCATGCTGTTGAATGAGGATAATAAAAAATGTATTAAATGTATGACCCAAATCAAAGAGAATCACACAAGATTTCTGGAAAAACAAAACTAAATTCACATATTCTCCCCCTCTACTATGAAAACAAATTTGTTTTTAAAAGTTGGAAATTAGAAAGTAAAACGCCACACAATACATCCTCTACTTCCGCATTTCCCAAGCTGGTCCCTGGGGACCCACAGACAGTCCATGTTTTTGCTCCTTCCCAGAGGGAGCAAAAACATGGACTGTCCATAAGGACCGGATTGGGAAACACTGCTCTTGTTGAAAAACATAATTACTGTTACTATACACTGTAGGTTTCTCACCTTCCTGCCTCTACAGATGTTCTTACCTGTATCTAGAAACCCCATTGAAACTCCAACACAAGAAATGAGGAGCGTGAGCAGGATGGCGCTCTTACAGAAGGGAATTCCAATCATGCCGAGAGCTGTGAGCAGCAACGACAAGCCTGGCGAGGACAGCGAGGAGAGAAACATCAGACAGATCGGGAATCATGTGGTCCTGTCTGTGGTACGGGCCACAACTTCTAACAACATGGTGTCCAGTTTGTTTCCCATTTACCGCCCATCTCTCAGCACCTTGGGCACTTAAAGTCCTTTCGCTTTTGCAATTTAGGTTATTTAAAAAAAAAAAACACACACAACACACATACATAAATAAAGAGGACTGAACAAGGCTTCTGTCAGACAAACATGCAACTAAATGTCAAATGAATGGGTTTTAAATGTCGCCTTTTGTCCAATGGCAGGTTTCAGTTACTGCTCCCTATAAAACCCAAGACAAGCCAGTTTTCACAAAAAAAGAAAAATCAGCACTATAATTGTGAATTTCTCACAAATGTGCGTAATGGGAGGGTGGGGGCTGAGCGGCTTGGGGCCGTGCCCACGATCACCGGTTTATCTGAGGTCGCCCCGTTCAAAGCTCAAGGTTGGCACAAATCATTGTTTTCTCAAAAAAATATCACTTTGTACAGTGGAACTTCATTACAACGTACCTCGGGGGACATT